TTGAGGACAGGAGTTCAAGACCAGCCTGAGCCAACATGGCAAGAACCCATCTTCACAAAAAATTTTAAAATTAAAAAAATTAGCTGGGCATGGTGTCATGTATCTGCAGTCTCAGCTAGTGGGGGGGCTGAGGTGGGAGGATCGCTTGAGCCTAGGAGGTCGAGGCACAGCAGGATGTGATTGTGGCACTGCACTCTAGCCTGGGCAACAGAGCAAGACCCCGTCTTCAAAAATAATGATAGAATTTTTTAACTTTTAAAAAAAGACTTACTATTTGCATACAACCTACGTGCATCCTCCTGGATACTCTAAATCATTTCTAGATTACTTGTAAAACCTAATGCGACATGAATGATACGTACATAGTTGCTATACTGCATTGTTGTTAAATTTGTATTATTTTTATTGTTGTATTGTTATTTTTGATTGCTTTTTTTTCCAAATGGTTTCCCTTTGGGGTTGGTGGAATCTACAGATGCGGAACCCATGGCTGCAGAGGGCTGACTATCACTGGTTAGAGGAAGGGCTGTCCCAGTCTCTGCCTTCACCACCCCAGAAGGCATTGACCTTGGGCTGAGCTGGTCCAGCAGACATCAGAGCCCGGCCTCTCCCAAGATGGACCTGGCTGTTGGCCTCTGCCCAATCCTGACTGCCAGCTCTTCCTAGACAGAAAGCAGCACTTTCCCTCCCCCAGGAGCAGAGCAGAAGTCCTCTCCACCTCCCCCAAGCCCCTCACCACCCCTTGCCCTGTTTCCAACGGGCTCCCTAAAGACCAGCCTCCCATGCCTTCCTGGCCAGACGCCCAGCTCTCTGCAGCAGCCTTAAAGTTTATCTCCTCATATCATGCCTCCCCTGTTTATCTTTTCCCAGGCATGAATACAAAATCCTTTCTCTCCACAACTTGCTACCTCAGTCTTACTCCAGCATCCGGCTGCTACACACTTCTCAGTTACTGTTTTCTGAAGACTTCGAATCTTTGTCCGCCCGCCTGGTCACTCCTGCAGTGCGGGCCTGTGAAAAGAGCACAGGGCTTTGAAGCCACGGGAGCTGGGTTTAATCCCAGCTCCGCAATGACCAGCTGCATGACCTTGGGCAAGTCAATTAACCTCCCAGAGCCTGGATTGTTTATCCGCCTGGAATTATGGAGACAATCTTATTTGCTTTCACAGTGGGTCTGACCACTAGGAGAAAACCTGGGTTGGCTTATGTGTTTTCTTGAGGGGTAGAAACTTTGAGAAGTCCTTGGAAGTGGAAGAAAGAGTCCCCCACCTCCTGCCCCCCACAAGGAGCCTGCCTGCAAGGACTGGTGGTGGTTGCTTGTGGCCAATGACAAACTTCTGTTGTGTGGCTGGAGTGAGCAGGCTGGGGGAAGGGCTGCATGCTTTGGAAAATGGAGGTGATTTTTTGATGATTGGTGCAGGGAAAGGAAAGGAGAGATGAACCCACTGATGAAGGAGAGGCGGCCGGATGCCTGCCCCCAGGGACATCATGCCCAAACCATCTGAGACAGACTGATCATCTCCCCTCCAGCCCCTTCCCCTTCTTCCCCATCTTGGTAAGACCACTGGTCACCCCATCCCAAGCCAAAGGACAGCTGAGGGATCTCCCAGGTCAGGGGCCCTCTGACCATCTGGCCCCTTCTCAGAATAAAGTTTTCTGCCGCATGATATGAAATACGTAGTATTACAGAGGCAACGAATTACACTGAAATATAGTTAGCAACATATTTAAACAAACCGTTGTATAGGAATGTGTGTGCTGTTTGGTTAACATGTGAAACGAGATTCAGTAGAAACTCTAATAAGCACCATACTTTGGAAGGAGTGCATTTGGAGGTAGCTGCAGCTGTGGTGAGATGTCATGAAAAGTATGGATTACTGTTGGTGACTATGTCCCGGTCTCCTCCCCACTGCTGTGATTTGTTGGAGGAAATGCGAAATGACAGTTAATTTCATGTTAGAAAATTAAAGATGCTGTTTCCCCTGACTGGGTTCACAGACCCCCTGAATTCTGTGTACCTAAGCTAGAAACCCTTGACTTTGACTCTATTTTCCCCTAACCACCTACTCCCACCCGCCCCTCCCAACCAGTCCTCAAGCCCTGCTGACTTGACCTCCTGCACCCTGGACCTGCTCCTGTCCCCACCCATTCTCCACTTGGGCCTTGCTGCTTTGCACCATTACAGCTCTGACCCACCTCCCCACCTCCATTCCTGCTCCCCTCCCTCTGTGCTCCACCCTGAACCCAGAGGGACCATCCCTGATACGGTCTGGCTGTGTCCCCACCCAAATCTCATCTTGAATTGTAGCTCCCATAATTTCCACATGTCATGAGAGGGACCTAGTGGGAGGTAATTGAATCATGGCGGTAGGTTACCCTGAGCTGTTTTTGTGATATCTCATGACAGTGGATGGTTTTATGAAGGGGGAGTTTCCCTGCACACGCTCTCTTGCCTGCCGCCATGTAAGACATGACTTTGCTCCTCATTTGCCTTCCACCATGTATGTGAGGTCTCCCCAGCCAGGTGGATCTGTGAGTCCATTAAACTTCCCTCCTTTATATATCACCCAGCCTCAGATACGTCTGTACTAGCAGCATGAGAATGGACTAGTACAACCCCCAAATGCAAACCTGACCACGTTGCCCCTTGCTCCACACTTCGGTGGTTCCCTATTGCCCATATGATAAATCCAAAGACCGCTATGAAGCACTGAGACCCTCACACAACTCTCCGGCTTCATCTTTCAACATTCCTCCTCTCCCTGCTCCCAGTCCTCCCACCATTCTGAAGGTCCCAGAATACGCCGCGTCATCAGGCCTTCGCTTCCACTGTCCACTCCACCTGGAATGCCCTCCCCAAGATGTCTACCAAGCAGACTTTCACTTATTTTCCAAGTCTCACTCAAATGTTGCATTCCCTATGCCCAACCCATTCATCCCCACTCCCTGGGCAAATGTGGGTGCCCTTCCCCCAGGGCTGTTGAGACACCCAGTCCATAGAAGTCCATACACCATGTTAGAATCATCTGAGGAATACGTCTCTCCACAAGATCACAAACTTGGCCAGCCGTGGTGGCTCATGCCCATAATCCCAGTGCTTTGAGAGGCTGAAGCAGGAGGATTACTTGAGCCCAGGAGTTGGAGGCTATTCTGGGCAACCTAGCAAGACCCAACTCTACAAAACATTTTTAAAATTGCTTGGGCGAGGTGAGGGGAATGGAGGTCGCCTATAATCCCAGCTACTTAGGAGGCCGAGATGAAGTATCGCTTGAACCCTGAACGTCAAGGCTGCAGTGCATCATGATTGCACCACTGCTCTCCAGCCTGGGCAACGAAGCAAGACAGTCTTTTTCCTTCAACTCCCCACAAAAAGCACAGTTCCCAGTTAGGCCTTCAGTGAATGCTGGTTGAGTAAATAAATAAAAGATGGAGAAAAAAAAGAATAAATAAGCTTTCGGACCTTGGATGGCTAGGGATGGGGCGCAAGGGGGCCAAAATGCATGTTGTGTGTGTGTTGTGACAATTTTTCTACTTTTCTTCTTTTCTTTCCCATCATGATTGGATTTCCTACATCCTGAGATGACAGATCGCCATGTTTTGATCTATGGCATGTGCTCTAATTTCTTGAATGCAGCTCTCTATTCTTTGAAAGATCCCTCCGTCAAATGTACATACCTCAATTAGGAGAGATTACTTCCCTTACCAAGAGGCTCATCGTTTCGGTTTCATTAAATAGAGAGTTCTTCCAATGCGTGAAGAATAGGATTAAATTTATAGAAATTCAATTTACACTCAGCTTTTTAGGAGCAAATGTCTTACACAGCCAAGCCACTGTTCTGTCTGCCAGGCCTCCTGAAGTTCTAGTTTATAGGCTTTCTTTATTCCCTTCCTGCGTAATCCCAGCTTAACCCCTGATGACCTGGAGCTGCTGCGGCGACCCTGGGCACCTGCCCACCAAATCTAAGTGTTTGCCTTGGAATAGTCTGTCTCCCCCTTCCCGAGTCATATGATGCAGCTGACTCTCCCATTCTTCCTGAAACCCTTAAAATCCTTGGCTCGTGACCTTTCCTCACAATCCCTGCCCAGCCCGCACTTGCCCTTGAGCTTCCAGATATGTTTGATCATTCGACTTCCAATGCAGCATCTCCACGTGGAGTTCTCAAAGCCGGATGAGCTCAGAAAGAGGAGCTACGTGCCCTACAACCCAAATCGCTGCCTCCTCCTCCTCCCTCTTCTTCTTTCTTCCTCTTCTTCTTCTTCTTCCTTCTTCGTCTTCTTCTTTTTTTTTTTTTTTTTTTTTTTTTTTTTTGAGATGGAGTCTTGCTCTGTAGCCCAGGCTGTAGTGCAGTGGCACGACCTGGGCTCACTGCAACCTCCACCTCCTGGATTCAAGCAATTCTCCTGCCTCAGCCTCCTGAGTAGCTGGGATTACAGGCATGTGCCACCACGCCTGGATAATTTTTGTATTTTTAGTAGAGACGGGGTTCCACCATCTTGGCCAGGCTGGTCTTGAACTCCTGACCTTGCGATCCATCCGCTTCAGCCTCCCAAAGTGCTGGGATTAAAGGCGTGAGCCACTGCATCCAGCCTAGGCTTCTTTTTTATATCCCAGGGCACGCAGTCAGCCCATTCTACATAACTACCGCCCTTTCCCTGATGCTGCAAATCCAGTCCATCACAGACCATGTGGCACTGAATTCCTGAAGACATCTCGAGTTCGTCTGCCTCTCCCCGCTGCCCACACGTGTTATGCTCCTTGAGGTCTGGGACTGCCTGCTTTTGTTCAGTGCTATGACCTCAGAACCTGGGCCGGCACCTGGCATGTGACAGATGCTTAGTCAATATATGTGAGACATTTTTTCACAAATGATAAAACTCAGGCTCACAGAAGAGAAAAGATTTGTCCCATGTCTCCCAGTTGGTACAACCAAGGCTTACCCCAAGGGCAGCACCCCTTCTCACCTCTGCTGTGAGAGGCCACGGGACCAGCCACACCTTACCTGAGAGCACCGTGAAGACAGCCGCGAAGGCGTTGAGCTTGAGCCCGTCGATGACATTGCTGGAGTGGAACAGCTCGAGACACATGAGGCTGAAGCCAACCACCAGCAGCAGAATGTACAGCACCTCGGAGACCACAGACAGCCACAGGACCCCTGTCCAACAGAGGCAGAGAGGCCGTGAGACCAGGAGCAACCCAAGACGGACCCACCCCGTGCCTATTCCTCCCACACCGGTGGAGGATAGCAAGTCATTTTAGAATAGACCCTGGCTCTGGAGCAGGTCCTGATTGATGATGGAAGGCTGTCATGGCCACCCCATCCTTGTCTGCAGGGACCAGCTCAGGAACCCAAGCTTAAGTCAGCCAGTGCCCAGAGCACAGCATTCTCTGGAGGCCCATTACTGGGGAAGAACTTTTGTCCTGTGACTGGACCAGGGGCTCCCTTTCTTTCTCATGGGTTAGATGATCACCACTGAGAGCCAGCTTGCTGCCACAGAGCCACCAGTTTAGGGTGAAGCTAACGCTGGAGACGCAGAGAAGAGCGATGGAACAATGGGCTCATCAGATCAACCAGCAACGCCGGGAGCTGCCCTGCTCTGGATTTCATGAGATAAACTGCTGTGTTGTTAGGCCAGTCAGTGTGAGGTTCTCTGTTACCTCCAACTATACATTTTGCTTTGTTCTTTTTTTGTTTGTTTGTTTTTGTGGGGTTTTTTTTTTTTTTTTTTTTCAAGAGAGTCTGACTCCGTCACCCAGGCTGGAGTGCGGTGGTGCTATCACGGCTCACTGCAGCCTCAAACTCCTGGGCTCAAGCCATCCTACCATCTCAGCCTCCCAAGTAGATGGCAATATGGGAGTACACCACCACATCTAGCTAATTTTTTATTTTTTGTAGAGGTGGGGGTCTCGCCATGTTGCCCAGGCTGTTCTCAAAGTCCTGGGCTCAAGCTATTTGCCTGCTTCAGCCTCCTAGAGTGCTGGGATTACAGGCATGAGCCACCACATTCGGCCACCTGTGGCTCTAAGTATGCCACCTCACACACAAGGTCCCTCAAGCCACACCTACACTTTTATCTGCCCTGTATCCTACCTCACATTTTTTCTAGACCCCACCATTGCTCCTTCCACACTTCAACCTTGTGGTTCTCCCAGTCAGCCATGTTCTGGTGGGGTCCTGCCCTCCTGGCATAGCTGATTGGTCCAGTATGATCATCTGACTTTTAACTGACCAATCAAAGTCTTCCTCTAGGAATCTGCACTTAGAACCACTGAAATAGAGAGAAGGAGAGAGAAGCTTGGATGAGAGTCTGAGCATTCTGGCCACATGAGCACCTGGCTCCAGCTGTTCCTGAAGGCCACCTGCCCTCCTGTCCTTCCAGTGGTTTGGCAGTTCAAACTTTCTTTGTACTCCCTGAGATAGCACAGCTCCCTTTTCCTACAAATGGGTCCAAATTGGATTGCCATCATTTGTCATCTAGTTTATGGGGTATCTGCTGTCTTTCCTACCCATATTATAACAGTGCCTGCATGCTTTTCACTGGGAGAATCTTTTTCTTCCCTCAGTCTTCATGGTTCCATTGCAGCTGACCCATATCTGGGCTCCATGCTGGGGTACATGACTCATGGCTAGCCAGTCAGAGCCCTATGTCCCTCCAACTCCAGTCATTGGTTCAGGAGTGAATTTCTCTAGACCTCAGTTCCTTCGTCCATAAAATGGGGGTGATGGCTGGGTGTGGTGGCTTGTGCCTATAATCCCAGCATTTTGGGAGGCGAGGTCAGAAGTTCGACAACACCCTGGCCAACATGGTGAAACCTGTCTCTACCAAAATACAAAGAACTAGCCAGGTGTGGTGGCGCCCATCTGTAATCCCAGCTACTCGGGAGGCTGAGTCAGGAGAATGGCTTGAACCTGGGAGGCAGAGGTTGCAGTGAGCCAAGATCACGTCACTGCACTCCAGCCTGAGCAACAGAGTGAGACTCTGTCTCAAAAAACAAAAAAATAAACTGGGGGTAATAACAACTGTCTCTCAGTGCCGTGGTGTTACGAGGATTTGGTTGCACAGCAATGTAGGGAGCTTATGTTAGCACATAGTAAGAGCTCAAGTCATTTGTCCTATTACAGTTTGTTGAGAAGAACATGGTGGGGATATATCGAATGGGGACCGGGAATAGAGACCAGGGGCTCTCGATGAGGTCAAGGCTAGAGAGAGAGTCAAGAGGGAGAAATGACATTGTGGGGACACATATGATTTCTGAAAGAAAAAGAACCAAATAGAAGATGGAACTAGGAACACATCCCCATGGGTTGCCTTCCATGTCACACTGGTCATGAGGTTCCAGCAAGACCCACACGTTAGAGAAGGGGCTATGGACCAGGCCTGGGCAGTAAGACATGGACCCATGACCCACGTCTGTTCAAGGAGAATCAACCTCAGGACCTTTGCAGGAACTACTGGGAGAGAGAAGCCTGCCCACCTCCCTTCCTCCCTTCCTCTCTCCTCTCTTTCTCTCTTTCTTTCTTTCCTTTCTGAGCAGAGTCGCACTCTGTCACCACGCTGCAGCACAGTGGTGTAATCACAGCTCACTGCAACCTCTACCTCTTGGGCTCAAGCAGTCCTCCCTCCTCAGCCTCCTGAGTAGCTGGGAGTACTGGCATGCACCACCATGCCCAGCTCACTTTTGTATTTTTTGTAGAGATGGTGCCTCACCATGTTACACAGGCTGGTTTCAAACTCCTAAGTTCAAGTGATCATTCTCCCTCAGCCTCACAAAGTAATGGGAGTGTAGGCCTACGCCACCACGCCCAGCACTAGAAGCCTTTTCTTCTTACCAGGTTTGAGGCTAGAAGGATGTAAAGATGGAATTGACTGAATTACCAGGTAGCAAGAGCCTTCATGAGAGTGAACCCAGTGCCAAGGGAGGCAGAGCCAAGAGATAGAGGAAGACTGCAACCTGATGACATTGTTTGAGCCCCTAGAACCAGCCATGCCTGAAGCTGCCAGTCCTTTGTACTTTCAATCACATGAACCAATTAACTCCTTGTCATTGCCTATGCCGGTTTGAGGAGAATTTCCATCACAAGCAGGAGTCCCTATCTTCAGTTTTTCTGTTCTCCAAAGCTGTCAAACCTGTCCTTTTCAGCTCTCTGCCTTTGCACAAGCTGTTCCTTCCACCTGGAATGTCCCGGGGACATCCAAGAAATACTATTTATCAAATAAAACAAATGAACAGTAAATTCTGGGTCCCTACCTGCTCCCTGAGGAAGAACCCAGATGCTGAAACACCCACTCTGGTTCCTAGCGCAACAGCACTTTTAGAGTTTCAGAGAACTTCTCTTTTCCTCTTCTTCCCTTTTTTTCTTTTCTTTTTTTCCCCCCCATACCAAAATATCACATCTCCTGGGCAATTCCTTGGATTATTGTAAGAGAATAATGTGCTCTTGGCAGCCTGGATGTTGTTAAAACATCCCCTGGCACCGCACACTCAGCCTCCGAGCCCTTAGCTGGCCCCAGGCCCACCAGGCAGCAGAGAGCGCAGCAAGAAAATCACAGAGCGCTGAGCCTGCGGGAGGGTGGCCGCCCCCAGGGGGTTTCATCCCAACCCAACCGCCTTTACCTCGGAGCTGCCGATGCTCCTCTCGCTGGGTTTCCAGCCCCTGCTGGTGCCGGCAGGGACCGCCCCTCATCATGGCGCTGCTCACTGACTCAGCGGCCTCCCCCGCGCAGCCCCCACACCGCAGGGGGTGCGTTCAACCCTGCCCACGTGGGCCCCGGGCCAGGACGCCTCCCCCGCACCTCCCCTCACAGCGGGGCCCAGCTCTGCTCTTTCAGAATTGATGGGAGACGGGCTGGAGCTTGGAGGTGGGGATGCTCCAGAAGTAACTTAACTATGGGGAAACAGGCAAAGGGTCCCCGATGCCTGGCGGGGTTGTGCTTATTTGTTTATTAAGACAGAGTCTGGCTGTATCGCCCAGGCTGGGGGGCAGTGGCCACATCTCGGCTCAAGCTGCAACCTCCACCTCCCAGGTTCAAGCAATTCTCCTGCCTCAGCCTCCCGAGTGGCTGGGATTGCAGGCACCTGCCACCGTGCCCGGCTAATTTTGGTGTTTTTAGTAGAGATGGGGTTTCGCCATGTTGGCCAGGCTGGTCTCAAACTGCTGACCTCAAATGATCTACCCACCTCAGTCTCCAAAATGCTGGGATTACAAGCCTGAGCAGTGCCCAGATGGGTTGTGCTGCATATATATATATATGTAATGAGAGAGAGAGAGTCTTGCTTTTGGTCCAGGCTGGGGTGCAGTGGCATGATCATAGCTTACTGCAGCCACTAACTCCTAGCCTCAGGCCATCCTCTTGCCTCAGCCTCCGTAGTAGCTGTGACTACAGGTAAGTGCCACCATGCTCAGCTAATTTTTTTATTTTTTATTTTTGTAGAGACAGAGTCTCATTATGTTACTCAGGCTGGTCTCGAACTCTCAGCCACCAGTGATCCTCCCACCTCGGCCTCCCAAAGCACTGAAATTATAGGTGTGCCTGGCCGAGCTGTGCTTCTTTTTCCAGCTAGGTCGCTAGATTTATTTCCTTGTCTTCTTACTGGGCTCGGGAGCATCTGTCTGCAAGTTTCAGCCCATTCCAGCCAAGGAAATTAATAACAATACTGATCATTCTGGTTGTTATCATTGTCACAATAAGGGCTGACAGTTACCAGGTCTTTATTATGTACCATGTTAAAAAGGAAAGTGCTGGTGTCCCGCCCAGTCTCCTCGGCTCTCTTTTTAGAGTTTCTGTCTTTGGAGGATTGGCTTTGGGCAACCAGAACCCATTTTGTCTATCTTTGTTCAGAAAATGACTGGGAACTTACATTTCCCTCTTAGCTGCCATCAGCACATGACTGACCAGCAGGGTCCTGTCCTGTGGCTCTGGCTGGGACAGTCGGAGATGTGACCCACACTGCAAAGCCCCCGTGGGGTCAGACTGGCCTGACACCATCCCTTGCTTTCCTTTCTCCCTTCCCTGTCCTGCGGCGTCAATTTCCTTACCAGTGTCCTGAGGGAGCATTGCCTTCACCAATGACTTTGCACCCAAATCCTCATCTTACTCTGCGCCTCTAGAGAATCTGATCTCAGATACAAAAATTCAAGCAGATTACATCCCC